AAATGTTTATACAGAAACGTTTTTTATATATTTTGGCAACACCGGTTTTGTTTTAGCTGGCTCAGCTCTATTCTTTTTTTTAAATTTTGTGGTCAACTATATTGGGAATCTCTTGCTTGGAGTTTTGGAGAATCGCAGGCGGTTTTGTGTGTGTGGGTGTGAATGAATTTGACTGCCGCATGTTAATATGTGACAGGTTTCATTTGTTGCACAGCTGTGTGAAACTGTAACGTTATTGTTGTTGTTGTTGCTTTGTTTCTTGTAGATGCCTCCGCTGGTTCTGCTGTGGCTCTTGGACTACCGAGCACTTGTTGCTGCCCAAATCCAAACGCCAACACTTTGAGTGCTTTGACACCTGACGCGTGCTAGCCGCAATGCACGCGTCGCCTTTGTCGCAGCCATCGAAATATAAATACTTCCGCCAGTGAAATTTATTTAAATCAACTGAGAAACTTACATAAATTACCTTAGGACAGGAAATGGGCGTGTCAAGACTGCAGCAGCAGCAGCAGCAGCAAAAACAACTTAATTACAACGCCGACGCGTGGCGAATGTTAGAAAAAATCTAGTCAAAGATCAGACCGGAATGGATCACCCACACAGCCGACATTAATTATGGTTAATTGTTGGCATAATGTAAACAAAACATTTGTTAGAAAACTTTTTTTTAAATAAAATTTCTTTAAATAAAATTATATTAGATTTTGTCTATCGAATAAATTGCTTTAAAAATAAAAACAGAAACATTTAAATTGAATAATTATTTTATTCTATTATATTCAATAGGTTATTTTGGCAGACACCTATTAAATATAATGACACGAATATAATAGAACTTGAATTTTGAAGTTGGTAATGTTATTTCTAAGAGGAATTATTTTGAAGTCCGATGTTAAATAAAAAACTTTCTCGTTCTCCCAAATAAACCTATTCCAGGATTAACATTATTAATTACATTTTTATATAGAACAACTTATATTTGAGTTTGGTCTTCATATAAAAAGTTGTTTACATAACTCAATTTTTGAACGCTCCAAAATGATAAAAAATTGGAAGGCACACAAAAAAGAATGAGCCGTTATATATTTTCCAGGAATAAATATTTTCTGAACAAGTAAAATTATATTTCTCTTAAAATCTGTTCCTAAGATTTATATTTAGAAATATAATAATAGCTGTCTAACAGCTGTTGCGAATATATTTGCTATAGAGTTGGTATTATTTGATTTAAACCACAGTTTTTAAAGCGATTACATAGAAAAAATTTAATAATTATAAAAAATAAGCACTGCACAGTTGACATATGTTAGCTTCTTATACAAAGACATTGATCTCAATAAATTTCATTAACAAACACTTTTTACCCTAGTTTACAATAAGATATAGATGCATTGGTATTAATGCTAAATGGATACATCGAGTGGGAACATTTACAACAAGTATCAAGTTTGGTGGTATGGAATATTGCACTAGAAACATGTGAGTGCTATGAAAGGTAGCTGGATTCAGCTGACATGGCGAAGCACATTTCACTTTTCAGGCGTATAGTACGTGGAGTGTAGGAACAGACGTGTGACCTCGCCAATTACCGAGCGATCTGGTATGCTCTGGGCCATGCCATACAGAGCCATTTTACCAGCCACTGGCTGACCAGGATCCTTCATAATCTCCGCTGTGCAGGTACGCAAATCAGCCAAAAACTTATCTGCCACACCCGGCTGGGTGTGCATGTCCGTGATGCAGATGTGAATGCTGCAAGAAAGTAAAATAAAAGTAGACACATTTATATTATTATTAGAAATAACAATACCTACCCGGAGGGGAACTGCAGTGGGTTTAGATTCCAGCCCAATTTGCACAGCGCATCCGAGAGCCGGAAAATGTCAAACACATTCGAGCCCATGGCAACAACAGAGGTGGCTGGCTTGCCAAAAATGAAGATGCCATCGATCTGACGTACGCTATAATAAACCGTATTATTAAGAAAAGGTCACACGAAATACTTGTAGTATTTACCCTCGCTCAATGTATCGCGCTGTGTCCACAATGCGTTTGGTCGCCTCCAGGTAGCCCTCATAGCCGAAATTCATCATTGTAGCCCAGCAGGCGGCAATGATGCCGCCAGCACGGGAGCCATTCACTGTGGGTGAGCCGTAAACGCCGCCAGGCCAATCGGTTGTGACCGTAAACTGATGATCCTTAAACTTCTTCTGCGAGTACATTATGACCGACGAGCCTTTCGGGGCAAAGCCGTATTTATGCGTATCGGCCGAGATGCTGGTGACGCCCTTCACAGCAAAGTCGAAGGGGCGCAGCTGATAGCCAGCATGACGCACCAGCGCAACCACAAAGCTGCCCAGGCAAGCATCCACATGCACGGGAATATTATACTTGACGCCCAGCTCAGCAATTGCTTCGATATCATCAATGGTGCCATATGGAAAATTGGGCGCAGATCCAACCAGCTGAACAGGAAATAAGTTTTAGAGCATAGTTCGCATGAGTTGGGATGCTAACTCACAAGAATGGTATTCCTATTGATGGCGCGCTTGAACTTCTTGATGTCCACCTCGTAGGTCTCCGGATCGACGTCCACGTAGCGCACGTGTATATTGAAGTACTGGCCGCCCTTGTCAAAGGCTGCGTGCGCTGTGCGCGGTACCACAATGTTTGGCCTCGTGATGCCCTTCTCCTCGCGTGCATAGTCCCGATAGGCCTTCATGGCCATGCAAATGGACTCCGTGCCACCGGTTGTCATTGTGCCGCAGCTGTCAGCGTTGCCATGGAATAGCGTACAGGCCATGCGCACAACCTCGGCTTCCATTTTACACACGCCAGGGAAGAGATCAGCATGGAGCGGATTCGTGTAGGAAGCCTTGCCATAAACCTCTGTGACCAGCTCCACCAGCTCCGGATTGTAGCCGTAGACAGCGCCCGACACGCGACCATCGCGCCAGCTGTAGTGACCAGTCTTGAGATGATCATCGACGAGCCCAAGAATCTGCTCCTTAGTTAAGCCCTTCTCAGGCAGACGCACCGAGTACTCCAAATGCTGGTTGCTCTTCTGAATTTCCGTCTCAAAGTCGTTCTTGGCCTTGCTCAGCTCTTTCTCCACTTGGCGGCGAACAGCCGGCAGCTTCTTGGCCAACTTAAAGAACTGACGCCTGCCCCGCACATAGAGACCTGCAAGAAAAGTACTGTTATTTGAAACTCTATTGATAATCTCAGGTACTTTTTGGGGGATTAATTTGCAATGTGTATCAGCTGACTGATAAATGCCTGCTTATCAGCAATTAATAATACTTTGTTATACGCAAGAACCGGTAGCTAGGCAAGTGCTTAACAATCGATCACAAACTTAACGGAAGCAATAAGATTAACTATTCGAATTACGAAATAGCGAGTACATAAATATTATTGGCGATTTATATTTTTAACATTTAACATGTAAATGATAATGAAAAGCGAAAAGCTTGCAACTTTGTAAATATTAATGAAAAGTAAAAACTATAAGAAATTTAGGTATTGTTTTTTTTTTATCCTAGGATAGGGTAAATTAGTAGATGATGACAGAGCATATATAATTTATGTTAGCAAATGTGTCACATCCAATATGTTACACATTTCTTGCCCTCTGCAAGGTAATAATTAGTCACAATTAGTAAGCTCTTTTTATATAATGGTGCCACCTAAATGGGACTGATAAAAGACCTAGACTTTTAATATCTGACTGCGCAAGAAATAACAATTATGAAATGATATGTTAGATAACATATGAAAATGAAATATAGAATTAAATCAAGCTCATAATACATAGAAATTTGTTTTTAAAATTCAATAATTCATATTTATTCATATAATACGTATGAACTATGCTCCTGAAATATGTATATTTATGTATGTACATATAGCTTTCCGTTTCACATGGCAAAACACAAGCCGATGTGGATTTGCACTCAGCTATTACGTTAGACAAGTATAATCTATGCATAATCTATTAAATAGATTAAGCTATAAGGTTCACAAAGGATGGGTCGGTAAAGTTTAAAGTACATAGGGTTTATTTTCTATATATGTATACATGTTCTTTCTAATTAAGTGCACGCACATGATAAGATTATTTGAGGGATTAAAATGTTTGACAAATGGCTCTGGAAAATAGACGGTTATAGAACTTACTCTCATCCTTGCTGAGCTCCGTCCAGATCCAAACGCCTCCCAGAACGGTTGTGGCTGTAATTGCGGCCACCTGCCAGGGCTCCTTGTTGCCAAAGGCGCGGTTGATGCAGCCGGTGACGGGCTTCACGCAATCGCTGCCAGAGAATGGACGCATTTTGCCGCCAATCGAAGCACAACTAAAATGAAAGTTGATAAGTGATATATTTATGTATACTCGAGGCGTGCTCAGAACACGGCCGCACTTGCAGGCCACACGTTAATAACTGAAATTATGTGGGGTGCTAGTTTCCTGATAATCGCATACAAAACGGTCTGTTAACTGATAAGCGTATCGTGCGCATTCCATATTCGAACGATTTATTGCGAGGCCTTAAAAAACATGAGTTTAAATCGAGAACAAATGCTTTGTTGTTACTTACTGCACATCTGACAGCAAACAAAGACAAAGTTGTTAACACGGAATTGCATTTTGGGGTTGAGACAGTTCACTCACCAGTTGTGCTGACTAATCAAAAAGTATGTGCTTTGAGCAAATGCTAAATTATTAAATACAAATTTAATTAACTTATGACACCTGTTTGTTTTGCTGTGTGAAATGTTACTAAACAAATGAGCGCTCAGCTCAGCTGTTGCGCTGGTCCGATGGCAAGCGATATATCGATAGCTGTGTTGTGCCTGGCAATGTTGTACATCGACGATAAAGACGAGTACGCTGCTCAGGCAAAATTGCGTGTGATCGTACACAGTTGATATGTTGTTGCAAATTAACAGCAAATAGTTGTGGAATTATTTTTGTGTTTATAAATATCAATAGCGATTATACAGTTTAATATGCTTCGAAATCTGCCGAATGGACTTAAATTGGTAATTATTTTAAAAAAATAATTATTATGTTTGTTTTATCATCTTTTTCTAAGCAGTGCGGGCGTCTAGTGCCAATTCGTTTCGCAAGTAATATAAATGCCGAGGAGTTCGTAAAGGTAAGCAGAAATTCATAAACAAATGACGTATTAATTTTTAATATGCAGGTTAAAAATTTCCAAGGCGTGCGTGAAATCACATTATGCCATCCACGTACACGAAATTCCCTATCGATGGACATGATGTGCGTCCTGCACGAGGCACTTATCGCGGATCGGGACAGTGTGGAGCTGCGATGCGTTGTACTGACGGCCGAGGGCAAAGTTTGGTCCGCTGGCCACAATTTAAAGGAACTGCAGCCCAGCGATCTTCAATTTCGGGACTCCGTTTTCCAAAAGTTAACCGACATTGTGCTGGACATACAAAAGTTGCCTGTGCCGGTGATCGCTAAGGTTAATGGCTATGCGGCTGCGGCTGGCTGTCAGCTGGCGGCTTCCTGTGACATTATTGTGGCCTCGGACAAGAGCATGTTCTCCACGCCCGGGTAGATTGTTGATCTTAATTTGCATTCGCTCATTCACATTCTACCTTACAGTGCAGGCGTTGGCGTATTCTGCAACACGCCCGGCGTGGCCGTCGGACGCGTCATGTCGCGCCCCAAGTCGGCGTACATGCTAATGACTGGCCTGCCTCTAAGCAGCCAGGATGCCTATGTGGCTGGTTTGGTCACCAAAGTGGTGCCGGAAAACGAGCTGGACAAAACAATTGAGGAAATTGTCTGTGCCATCAGAGAAAAAAGTCGTGCAGTTATCGCCCTCGGCAAGGATTTCTACTATCAACAGCTCAATATGCCGCTCGAGGAAGCCTACATTAAGGCCAAGGCAAAAATGAATGAAAATCTGCAATTAGAAGACTGCAAGGAGGGCATGAGCAGCTTCGTTGAGAAGCGTGCGCCCAAATGGAAGCATACCAAATGAGATCTGTCACGTGCCGAGATAAATTATCATTTGTATGGACCCGACCAAATGTGCATTTACTTATGTAAAGACAAATATAGTTTAGAACTTGTTATGCTTTTTAAACGCACTCGTCTATGTTCATAAGTCATCCTGATCATCTCGTTTATTATCCTCACGGCTGTTTATGATAATGGGTAAGTTCAAGAAAGTTATAAATGTATATTTCGATTCGATTTCTGCTATTATTTTTATATTTCGTGGATGTAGAATTTCAACAGGTTGTAGAAACTCGATCTTCGATTAAGGGCGCATTAAACATCCGATCAAGTTTGTTTTGGATGTCTTGTTTTGTATTCCTCCCGCTAGCATTGAATGCTATCTTTAATTCCTGGACTATGATCAGGTCTACTGTCTAACCAAAATGCTTTAGAAAGATGAGCGGACGTGTTTAGAATGCTAAATGTTATTATTCTTTACTTCATCAAATGTGCTTACTATTCTCTAGGTTATTCTGGGTGCACTTTGATGAAAAGCTTTCTCTAGTATTTTGACTATATACTTCGGTATAATTGTTTTCCAAACAGAAGTTAATTCTTTAGTTCGATCTTTAAAAGATATTTTCCAATTGCCAATAGAGAAATTTATTGGCGTTTTAATTCTTAATTCCTTTTTTATATTCAGTATAGTCCTCAAAATAAAACCAATTTCGTGCTTTCGAAAAGTATGCTCAATTCTTATTTTGTGTGTAGTTTATTCAAAACGTGTTTGTGTGTGCAAATATTTAAAAATACAAATACAATGTTTGACGTGGATAATTAATGAAAATAATAAAAAAAAAAATAAAATAAAAATATTTATATGTTGGCAGTTGTTGTCTGTGTGGAGTTAAGAATTTATTTGTTTTTCAGTTCAACTATATCCAATATTTAAATTTTGAGGTTATGTCTGTGAGTCTTTTTTAATAGATTTCTGTTTAAATGGTTGGACGTAGAAAATTCTTGAGGCTGGACGAATGTGTGCCAAAATCAAAAAAAAATGGAAAAAGAATAAAAACAATAAAATATTTGCGTCGTTGACGCTGCTGTTGTTGCCGCCGCGTTGTTGTTGTTGTTGTTTGTGTTGTGATGTTTAAATATTTAAAACTCTTCGCATTGAACTAAAGATAGTAGAATATTAATCTTATAGGATGTGGAACATAGATATATATGTATACAGATACATATGCGTAGATATACATACATATCGATACATAGAGTTTATATAGTAAGCGTTAAGCATATACATATGTACTAGGAGTATTTTCTAAAAGTAGAGCAATATTATAACTGTGCAATAAAATATTTTTTTCTCAGGTTTTTCGTTTATAGTCACGAACTTTAAAAGTTTTACTTTAAAGCTAGAAAATAGATCCATTTTCGAGGCAATGCAAAGAGAATTATGCCAAAAGAATTATTTAGTGTCATGTGCTAAAAGACTACGCATAAATATTTGAAATTCCGAACGTAACCCCGTGCGGTTAAATCCCCTCTCGCAGGTCTACCAAAATTAGAAGCCCCAACTAAAAGGGTACAAAATGTGTGAAAAATAATGCCAAAAAAATAAAAATAATAATAATGGTGTCGTGTTGTTGTTAGTAAAAAGTTGTTGTTGTTGTTATTGTTGTGCAATGATTCTCCCTCCGCACTTCTGCCGGCTTGCTGCTGTTTTTTTTTTTTTCATTTGTTGTTAGCTCTTCACTTTAGACCTCGGTAACGGGACGCTTCTCGATCCAAGCCTTGATGGGCTCCAGGGCATTGATGGCCTCGACGACGCCGCGCAGAGCAGGATATGGCTCCAGCAGATCACGCTTGACCATGTAGTTCATGTAGTCGGTGATGCCGGCAAAGTAAACATCGGCCCAGGTGAGCTGGATTATACAGAAATAGGATTAGTTAAGGGGTTCGGTTAGAGATTATAGTTATGTATTATTTTTGCTGTTGCCCACCTTGCTCAAAGCCAGATGGCCGTCGTTGTCCTTGACGGTCTGCTCCAGTTTCTCCAGATAGAATGGAATGACCTCGGCATTGAGGGTGACCAGCTTCTTCTCCTTGATCTCATCCTCGGGCTCGTACGAGACGACTGCAATTTCTATACATTAAAAATTCCAGAGTTAATCAAGGACACTGAACATGAAACTGAAGCACACATTGTTCGCTACTTAGACGGAAGTCATTGATGGTATCAACCACAATGTCGATCTGCAGATCCTCCCAGGGCGTGGCGCCGCACAAGCCGACTGTCTTCGCCAGGAAACGAGCCATCGAGATGCTCTGATGCACACGCTTGCCGTCCACCTCCAGCACCGGCATCTGGCCCATGGGCATGGCTAAGCAAATTGATTACCGTGTATGAGTGTTTGATCGGTTTTGGTGATCGAGTGGATGCACTTACTCGGCTTTAGGGCTGGCCATTCGTCGCGGGTGACGCGCACATCCTCGTACTCGATGCCGCCATAGGCGAACAGATAGCGCAACGGCTCGGCGAGGGCCTTCACGTTGAAATAGAAGAGGGTGTAGCTGTGCTTGATCGGCTCGGCGGGCTCGGCGGGTGGTGCGGCCTCGCCATCGGCTGCTGGTGCTGCCTCGCCATCGGCTGGTGGTGCAGCCTCACCCTCTGCTGGTGGTGCAGCCTCAGCTGGTGGTGCTTGTGCTTCGTCGGCCATTTCTGCGCTTACTCAATGCAATTCCCTGCGTGAAATCAACAATAATCAAATATCTCTGTGAGTATCGCATTTCAAAAGCGGCTCTTGAGTTGCTTATCACGATTTTTATTTGTATTCATTTTATTTCTATTTTGCCCACACAGCACATCTTTCCTACACCAACATATATGGCGTAAACAAGGCCCTGGCCATAATCAGGGGTCTGTTTGTTTGGTTAAGCGTGGAGAATATTTTAGATAACAATTGTTTTATGAAATTGGTTTGTGCCAGCTACATATACATATGTAGTATATGGCAAAGGGCTATTGTACGCTTTATAGCGCTAAGATTATGTTTAGTAGACATTTTATGTGTGCTTTGAACTAGTTAACAGCTAATCAGGATAAGATAAGCCCAGGTTCAAAATGAACACATAAAACATAGGTATTTCCTCTAAGGTTTCCAGCAGTTTCTACTATGCAAAAACACGAGAATACAACAGTATATAAGACTATTTATAAAAACTATAATCGAATTCTGTTTGTGGTTATCGCTCGGCATATATGGCTTCTATTTCACAATATCAATGATAACGCAGAATTGTAATGGAACAACTGGGTGGAAAATAGATTCGAAATGTGTAGCTGTCTATTATTGCAGCGGGCCGATAACAACTTAAAAGTGACAAGCAAGTCTTTTATTTTTTGATTTTAATTATAACAGCCGCAAATAAATTGATATTTTAAGAAATTAAAGGTAGCTGCGGTTTGCAGCTTACAGAGTAAACTGATCTTTAACAAGTTTCTTCAGTAAGGCTTTTGTTAAATTGTATTTTGTCGACCGACTGTTCCTATTTAAGCCATATATGCAAGGGTATACATTATAATTTAGTAAATTTGATTCATTTCAATAACTAAGGCTGATTCAGCCCAATATATGAATACAATTTTCACCATTACAAGACACCAAGTCAATTAAATAGTCTCTTGTTAATAATAAAAGATCTTTGGGGCTTAATAGTTCTAACAACAGTTCTTTGTTGTCATGTGTAAAATTGAGGAAATAATAAGATATTATTTTCTTAAATACAGAGTGTGCGTATCTGTTCTGTGAACAATCTAATTCTGTCTTGTTTTGCCATACTGAAGTTCCTTATAGCTAACTTTTTTCTAGATGTTTTAGTTTTCATTCTCCGTATTTCTAAGTCGATTTTTATCATGATAATCATCTATTCAATCTCTGGTTGCATGCAATTTTCTTTCTTTGATTTGACTTGGCCTAGAACTGTCCCTCTATGTAAAGATATATATGGTATAACTTCCCATTCCATTACACAACGAAAGTCAATTAGGCCGGCCCAGCCATTTCTTTTGCATAGACTCGATTTGACCATATTTGGGGCTTTCGTTGCCTTCAAATTGTCAGCATTCCAGCGGGCAATTGCGATAAATCAAAAGCTGACAAAATAATTACCATATAATTGCCATATAACTACATACATTGTTTATATAAATGTATATTATATAAATATATAAACGGTATTTAAGTATTTTGTATGGACTGGGTCTGTCGCAAAGCGGAAATGCATCGATTATGCCAGAGACACGACTCGAGAACTGCAGCAGGAGGTGGAGTTGGGGAAATGGCAACAGCCAGAGACAAGACGCGACTCAGAGACAGACAGAGACGCAGACGCAGACGCAGATCCGCACCCACACAATTCGCATTGAACGACGCGCTTGTCCATAGATCAGTTGGTTCTGTTTCGAGTCAAGAACTGCCGCTGGGGCGTTGGCGCTCTTGCTACGCCCCTATTTCCATTGTTTTTATTATTTTCTTCTTTATTTTTTATGATTATATTAACTGTTCGGCAGGAAGTGACGCGGAGCCCTTCGTGTGCCTCGTGGAAAGGCGAGCGAGCCGTAAGTGTCGCTGTCTTCGGTCCCGCATTTGGCAGGGCGCCCATTCAGTCAGTCTGACAGTTGGTCGTCCTCCCCTCTGCAGCCCCCTTTAGTAATGCCCGATTGGTCGCCTCTTCCGCTGCAATTTCGTGTCTCAAATTGCAACAATCGATTTGACTTCTCACACTGTCGCGACTCTCTCTCTCTCTCTCTCTCTGTCTCTCTCGCTCTCTCTTTCACACACTCTGCTTCTATCTCTGTTGCACGAGCTTGTTGCTGTGGGTGCTTCAATTGAATTTAATTTGGCATGATCCATCGCAGGAGCGGGCGTGAGGCGCTAGGGCCAGGGGTATTTTAGTGTCATGATTTAATTAAATTTCGATTTTAAATTTGCTCGCCTGTGCTATTTTAATGCTTTGATGTTGCCTTTTGCCCGTTCGCCTTGTCTCGCAGCACTTAATTGTGTGAAATCGATTTTCAATTTTCGTTTCGTGCGATTTATACGAAAATGTTAAGAAAATGTTGGGGGCCAGTTCAAAAAAGGTTAGGGCAAAATTATAAAGCAATTTGAAAATAGTTTAAGCACATAACATTAAGGCATCATCTATGAACCTTGTTTTCCCCCTCTCTTTTGTAAATAATACCATAATCTTTCACTCCGATATTATCAAAGTCGCTACTTTGAACAAAAGTATTTCAGGTTATTTTCGTAATTTGATCAGTTTTCAAGAAATATTCTTCCCAATCATACAGCTCCAGTAAAAGTGCTTTCCGTAAGCTCTCTCTGAGTTAGCCCCTCTCTAATTACACTTGCAAAATTCACTTGGAATCTGATTTTGTCGATTTTCCCATATTTAATCAGGTCGGGAACCTGAAAGTGCGTCAGAAGTAGCACGTGCTATGATGAATCCAGTGCCAGATGGTCAAAGAATCTTTATATATGGGCAGAGCAACTGGAAAGCGACTTGCACTGATTACAGCTGAACTCAGTGATCAAGTCTCCAGGCGATTTCTTATCAATGACATTTACAATTGCCGCACTCAGATTCAACTAACGGACTGATTATTAATATTTATTTTTTCTGTTATCAACTTAGGGTTCATATGTATATTTATTTTACGGTAGGTATTCTCTGGGTTATATAAGCTGGTTGTTGTCTTTTTTTTTTTTATTTGAATTGAAAATTCGTAGTGCACTATGCGGGGAAAATTGTAAAATTGTTCCGTACGTAAAATGTAAGTACCTCACGCTTCGAAATTCGTACGCGCACTCCACGATTGAAAAAATTTGGATTTCGAGTTTACTATTTGTAATGCAATTCGTAGAAGGTTTGTCTCGTTTCGACTTTCTTGGTCGATGTCGATGTCTCGTTGGATTGGGTTTTGGTCCACACACGTCGTTGTCCTTCACATATTTGCGTGCGAATGATTCGAGTCGTAGGCAAGAACTGCGAATGCCCGAAACGAGTTCAAAACTTTTCGATTTCGAATCGATTGACCCACAAATCAACTAAAAGACAGTTCCAATTTTAGACAACGATCGCCAAAAACCGAAGGCAAATCGACCGACAACGAAACGTAAAGCGTTCGGCATTTCGGAAATTGATTTACAAATTGGCAAAGGAGAACAGTTTAGCAATTTACTTAATTACATCACTTTAGTATTTACTAGTATTTAGTATTTGCTTTCAATTTCATATTTGTCCTTCTGGCTATGCCTTACCTCAAAGAACTTTTCCAAAAAAATTCAGCTCCAGCTGCACTTTCCAATTGAGATTTTTGTTTTGGAGTTTGGCTTTTTTAGCACGGCTGGTCACACAGCAAACAGGAGAAACAGTTGAACCTGAACCGATCGCAGCAGCTAAGCAACAGCAATGAACGCCGACTATTGTTGGAGAAGTTGGGTGACGGCTTTTATACGTTCTAATTGACAAAATGGGCGGCGCCACTCCCACATGGAACTGCTCTGAGCAGCGAAAAAGTAGCGAAAGCGGCGACGGTGTGCGCACAGAGAACTTTTCACTGAGGCGACGCTGAGAGATCCGATCGTCGTGGGTTTTGGGCAGCGCTCTCTCAGAATGTTTGCGTGTTGTTGCCGCGGCGTTTTTTTTCCTTAACTAACATTTAAATATGCCATTTCAAATGAAAATGAATAATTATCTTATTAAAAAAATGCTGCTACAAGATACAAATGCAGTTGCTATAGACCAATTAATAGTTATTTTTCTTACATTACCCCACCCTTTGTCAAAACTTACGCTCTCTGAGCAATAAAAGGCGCTTAGCAGCAGCAGCCTGTTAAGAGAGCGACTGAGCTGGCAGCCGGCCGGTTTAATGACGCCTTGTGTGTACGTATGTGTTAGTGAGAGTAATTGCATTTTGTATGTGTGCGCGTGTGGGCGTTGTGACATGTGCTTTTCTCAATGCCTTACAAAGGAATATTTTTGCCTGATGAATTCAATTAAATGCCGTAGATATTTTAATGTTACTATTCTACTTGTTCATTGTCTGCAGTTTACCTAATTGGGCATTTGCATACAGCTCTTGGGTAATTTATTGATTTAAGGAATAGTTGTGACGCTCTTAAAAATGACTTGTTCGTACACTCATTCTCTTTATGGTTGCTTTTGAGAGTAAATTGTGTTGGTATTTGTTTGATCTGCGGCTCTAACTAAATATTTGGCTAGCTTTCAATTATGAACCAATTATGGCTGGTAGCCTTAACTAAACAAATATTTATCACGGCTTTTAGTTGGAGTAGCTTATTTGACATTTTAATGATAGTCTAAACAACCAAAACGAGGCAATATTTAGAAGAATAGATGCTTAGAGGTAAGTTTCTGTGTTCAGCGGAAGTCAAAATTCCGTTATATATTGTGTGCCCATTCGCCCTACTAAGAAGCAATTGCAACGAATCTACGTCTTTCTTTTTCAATACTTTATCTTAATGGCATCACATATTGAACCAATTTGCGGTTGACTGAAGGATTTTTCGATTTAGGCGTTTCCGCTAGAAAACGGGCTTTGTTTAGGGTTACAACTCATTAGCTGAAAACACTTTGGTGGCAGAGGAAAATTTTCTGTAACGCCAACATGAGCCGGTGTATCGCCTATGAGTCG